TCCTAATATTTTCTATAATCGATGGTGTATATTTGTATGGTTTACTTTTAAAGTTTTTGTTGTTTTTTTTTTGTCACAAAAGATTTTGTTTTTCTACCCACTAAAATTAAAGTAACATGTCAATCAATATATTGGTCAGCCCACTACGAACCCTTTATAACTTGAGAAATTAAAAAAAATACCACTTTTTAAGTGTCATTTTATAAAAATACCACACTTTTAAAATTTTTACAAAAATACCATTTTTTCAAAAATTTTTATTTTATATTATTTATGTTTGGGTTAATTATCTTCTAGTAGGATTTAGTTTTGAGTGTTTAGGGGGTTTTAGGTGTCAAAACATTTTTTAGGGTTTAGAATTTTAAGATATAGACTTTATAAATCTATAATTCACGACATTTTTGTAAATAGACACTCCTAAGTGGCATTCTTGCAAATATGCACACAAAAAATAGTATTTTTGTAATTGCCCCTTGTAAATTTGGACCCAATAACTCGTAACGTTCACAAACTTGGTCGTTAGTACTATTACTACGTAATTTTATGCTTTTTTTTTTAAGTAACTAGGAGGAGTTTGTGTTTTGGCTTTAATCTCTCCATCATCAAAAATTAGTTTTTGATAATATCTTATAACATGCCAGCCCTAAAAATTTAAAGGTCACAAGCAAAAAAAATTAGGCCAATATTTATTGATTTCTTAAAAATAAAAAAAAAATTAAACAAAGTGATCAAATGGTGCATCAAACCCTCCATCTCTTATTTTCTCTATATAACCCATAAACCAACTGAACTAAAAAAATTTATGCATATTTTTGGACCGATAATATATATAAACGAAATATCAAAAATTTTGGATCGCAAGCACGGGTTTGGCTCGTTTGCCCTCAGGGCCAGCCCTGCATGACGTAAATTATTCTTCTCACTGGAACTTGAACTAAGAGCGTAACAGGACCAACTCTTACGTTTAACTAGTAGCCCATGCCCTCTATCGTTTTATTCCTTCGGAGTCTACCTAGGGCTATGTTATGTATTGTATATGTTTTATGTTATATACGGACCGAATAATATATTTATCTTGAAATAAGTTAAATATATGTAAAGTACTGAAAGTTATTCCAACACTTATTTCTAGGAATATCAAATAAGCCACTTGTGAACAAGTAGTCCACCAAAAATTCCCATATTAGAGAATCAGAGAGAAATCATA